ACCGATAGCTCTTCACCTAATTCCTCTCTCTGTCAATTGTTCTGTTGAACACGATTACTTGTCCGCCTTAGAAGATGGTCATGTGTACGTTTTGAGCCTCTCTTAGGGAAGATTTCTTCACACTAAGACGTGATGAAGAAGCCACTACTTTCCAGCATTTGACAAAGTATTAGCTGAGGGAACCCGACAATGCTTTAAATTTATAGAAATTATATCTGGGCATACCTAGAATCAGCCATCTTGGGAACCTCTAATCTGTGAACATAGGAGCCAAAAACATCTTGATCGTGTTGAGGGAACGGTTTGTACCCAATTTTGGTCAATGGACCAAAAATGGTTACCTCCCCAAAAAAGAGCATGGCAAGGGCCCAAGCCCAACAATTGTCTACAGTTTAACGTTTTTCAAAAAGATTTTTTGTTTAAAATAAAGACCAAGACAAAAACCAAAGCCCAAGGGTAGAGGGCCCAAAGCGATTGAACTATTGAAAAATGGGAAATTGGAAGATGTTCCAAACCCACGCGAAGGTGAGAAGGACCATCAACATTTAATGACGATTTGACTTTTCCCTCTTCCATTAAGAAAAGCCAGCCGCCTAAGGAAGCCACCAAGCCAGGTAAGAAGCCAACTTGCACATCAAATCGCCAAGGACGAAAACGCCTCAGACCAGGAAACTAATTCGAAGGACCGACGGTTCTCGTCAGAAAGATCGATCTCCCCCTCTACGGACCAGTTCAGGACGTCAAATCAGCAAGCTGACTTTGGACAACAGCCAAATATCCTTGCTCAGTCATCATCACTTAAGACCTCTCCTGCTCCTATAAATAGAGAGCTTCCAGCACAGAAGAAGGGGACTCTCTCTCCAAAAACCAGACGCAACGTCTTAGAAAAGCACTCAAGGCATTCCAGTCATCTCGTTCAGACTTCAGATAGCCAGACGATCTCTGTGTTCATCTTTTTATTTCTCTGCCATTTCCATGGTATGATTAACTTCTGAAAATGTTTAGTTTGAATTTGTATAGTTTAGCCGGCTATGAACCTTAGATCACCGTGATAATGTACTTCTTAGTTTGGAACTAATAAGCATGGATCTCTGCTGTTTCTGTCATTAATTTAATAACTAAGTAAATGAGAATAATGGAACTCATATCTAAAGAGTTCTGTTTTGCTTATGTCTGCTTCCATTTCCGTATATTTAATATTTAAGCCATTTCCCGCTTTTCTTTTATTCAAACTATAATATCATGAAAGGTTTTTAGCCCGAATCGAGCCGCATAGGCTTGAGGGATACAAGCCAGTTGGGCCCGAAAGTCATATAGTTGGGCCCGAAATTGTGGTTAAATTATATATATAAATTTAAATTCAGACTTAGGTTCGTAAACCCGCGCGAGGTGTTTGTTGACCAAGAACTTTGTCTTTTTCCCTTGCTTGGATAGGTGTGGCTCGCACCAACCATAGCCGACATATACATGAGAGAAAGAATTGTGAAGTCCTCTTAACTGGGGCATAGAAAATAACCAAACCAGGCCAGTACCCCACCTAGTGCACAATGGCTTGAACAGAGTTTCAGGAAGAAGGCGCAGACTCCACAAAATACTAACCACGTTCGCTCATACCAGGTCTGTTGGACTGGTCATACATCCAACAGTGGCACGCCTATAAAGCAGAACCCATGAATCAGAAGAATTTCAGAGGTTAGGCCCAAGATAGGGCTGGACTGGATTTCTTATCAACCTGATTCAACTTTCAATCTCGTTGAATATTGAAATAACATCTGCGTGGGCCAAGAAAGAAACAATCGGGGCATTGGTGTAGGTCTAACAGCTCCTGTATTCTTTCGAGCACGCCTACTACGACATTGGGCGAAAAGAATACTTGACAGGAAAAGAGAACCAACAAGAACAAATCCTTGGATTTAAAGTCTCTAGGAGTGGTTGGCACATTCCTTTTCTTTTTTTTGGGGTCTGAATGTTGGCACATTCCTTGGAAAAAAGAAATTATGAACATCTCTTCAAATTTTTAGATTTTTATAATTATTTCCTTTAATTTTTAATTACTGTATTAATATTTTAATTCATATGAACAATTTTACTCCTTAATTAAGGTAATAATAATAATAATAATTCATATGAACAATTTTACTCCTTAATTAACAGTGGACCATTTTAATAATAGAGAGTTGGAGTACTATTATGAAAATTTTAATTCGTTGACCAAAATGAAACTTGAGCAATAGTTGAAGGACCATTTCGGTTAAAAATTTTTGTTTTTGGCTTATTTGTTCAAATGCCTCCTATGGTTTCCAAATAGTCTATGTTTGTCCCTTGATGTTTTAAATGACTCAATCTCTCCCTTGAACTTCCATTATGTGACCAAAGTTGCCCCATTCCGTTAGTTTTCAAATAAAAATCATTAAATCAACTAATGTGGCATAGGTAGTTTTAAAATAAAATTTTCTTCTTTGGAGAAATTATTTTAAATGTTTAAAATAAATTAACTTTTTGAAAAAAATTAAATTAAATTAAAAACCCAGCAAACTCGACATCAACGTCAACCACCATTCTCTATCCTCTGCGTTACCTTCCTCTGCTCCATCGTCATCGGGATCGTCCCTCTCCTCCATTCCCCCGTTCTCTTTCCAATCACTCCTCCTCTATCATCATCACCCACACACCCCTTCCTCTTTTCCTCTTCAATCACTCATCATTCATCACCCACACACTATGTATTGATTGCTCTTCTGTTTTATTTTTAACTTTATTGAGTTACTTATTGAGGAGTTCTGTATATTTTGGAAATGGTGGACATTGGGTTGGCTTCGGTTCTGTGGAAGAACATGGTACAGTTTGGGGGAGATATTTCTAAGTTGTAGGGGAAGATATGGAGAGATGAGAGAGATAGCAAGGGAGGAGATGGAGAGATGAGAGGGAGAATGGGTGGGAAGAGACAGAAGATGAGGGGTTTGACAAGACCGTCGAGCTCAGGAGTTGGGACTTGGGAGGGGCCGCTGGGTTTGACATGTCATATGTCATGTCAGTTGATTTAATGATTTTTATCTGAAAACTAACATAATAGGCCAGTCGGAATCAGAGACTAATGAAGCCACATATTTATACAAGATAAACACACAAAACAGGACCACATCCATGATCTGCTTTTGCAGTAATTGAATGAATCATGGAATTATTAATTTGGAACACAGAATATCTATTGAATTATAGTCTTTGCATAAAGTTAATTAGGTAGCCTTTCTTTTTCTTCTAGTCTGCACATGTATTTCAATGAATGGGGAAATTACTGGATGATAAGACTTGTGGAAATTTGGTATTCGTTGGAAGAATGAATGTGTGTATGGAGATATTGTTAATTTACTATATTATCTTTATTTAATGAAAAAAATTTCATTTGTAAATAAATTCATTAACTAAGGATATTTTTGGTATTTTAAGTGTTTCATCATTCTTTACCTCTATCTTTTTATATATAAATAAACAATGACAGAGCTATGAATTTTCAAAGGAGGGGCAATATTTAAAATGCTAAAATTAAATACCCTTAGAATTTAAACAATACTAAAGTCATTCATAATTCATGAAAAAAAAACTTTACAAACAAAATGCCAACAAACAAAAAGGCAAAGCCTCTTAGGAGTTGGCACATGTATAGTGCAACTGCACCTTCCTGCACCTACACTACTGTAAAGCGTTAAATACTTTTTTGTTCGTTGGGTTTTACATGGAAATTCAATTTGGTCACTGAAAAAAATATTTAGCTAAATTAATCACTTTTTAACCAAAGTTTACAATTTATAGGTGCGTTGTTAAGTTTTTAACGGAAACAAACTGTAAGTACATAAACACCCCTCTAATATCATATAATTAATCTAATTATTATTAATCAAAGTCGAGCCTACAGCCAACCCCATTAGCCCAACTCTCCAATGTTAATCACACTTACCAAACCATATCATAGTGCCTTGTTTATAAACACCTTTATAAGAGTGGATTTTCGATGTGGGATTTTCACAAAAGGCACCTCAAAAGATAAGCCTACAGAGAAATCCATATTTTATTGTTGGTGCAATGTGGAAATGTAGTTAAAGAGTATAGTTGTGCGACTATACTCCGTAAATAAAAAAATTAAATTACTATTTATTGAGTAATATAATTCATGAAGTTAATTAAAATATTTAATACTAATTATTCACTAAAAAAACAACAAGTAAAATAAGGCAAAGATAATATTTAATTACTAAAAATAAAATTTAAAAACATCAATTAACCTAAACATACTAAGTTTATATATATATATATATTTTTTAAAATCCCTTTCAGGGAAAGTTCGTCGGCACATGTCTACGTATTAGACCTTTCCCGACGAAATTTTGTCGGTGGAGGTAACTTTTGTCGGGAGATGTCTAACTTGGCAAACATTTGTCGGTAGACATCTACCGACGATATTTCGTCAGGAGAGGTTTTTTTTAATTTTAAACCAAATCAGAAAGAAAGAAAAAAAACCGAGTATAGCCGCGCGGCTATACTATTTATCAGTGACTATATAGATACTTTGTGTAAAATACAATGACGAAAACGGTATTCAAAATATATATTTCTCTCAGTGCATGAAAAATTGTAGTTTTGTTGTGTCAGCAAAATTGAGATTTCTTCTACGGGAGCTTCTATAATGAGGAGGTTGAGTGAGGAGCTTATTTGAGGAGGCTCATCTCACCATAAAAAGGGGTGTGGACCCCCCCAATGCACCCCCCCCATGTGCTTTGTTTTTAGTTGTTGATGGTGAGATTTCACCTCCTCAAATAAGCTCCTCACTCAACCTCCTCATTCTAGCCTCTCCATTTCTTCTACTTGTTAAATATCTGTCTCTCTCGCGAGTCGCAACAAATGAGGGCCCAAAAACAAAGAGACTAAAAAAGCCCACAGTTAAAATATCAGAGATGTGCAGGCCCAAGTTGAGCATCTACCAGGCAAAATTAGCAGCTAGACTAGAGTTTTACAACTTCGATTCGATTAATATAGGACCAACGAATTGATCAAAAACACAAAAAAGAGGGAGAATGATGTCGTTTTGACCCACCGCAACTGCAACCGCAACCGCAACCGCCTAGTCATCTCTAAACTCACCCAACCCAAAAATCCCGACAATCGATAATGAGAGTGAGCTCCGGCGATGGCCTCGGTGGCGGCGCCACCTCCACTGCCGCCGCGGCTTCCAGGGACGCCGAGGCCCTCTTCCGCTCCAAACCCATCTCCGAGATCCGAACCGTCGAGTCCACCACCCGAACCCAGATCCAATCCAAGATGGAGGAGCTCCGCCAGCTCGTCGGCACCCGCTACCGCGATCTCATCGACTCCGCCGACTCCATCGTCCTCATGAAGCGCTCCTCCCACTCCATCTCCCTCAACATCTCCTCCGTCCACGCCTCCATCGATTCCCTCTCCTCCTCCGCCTCCACCCCCGACCCGCCCGACCCCTCCCGCCACGACCCGACCCGCCACCGCATCTACGGCATTGCCTGTCGGGTCAAGTACCTCGTCGACACCCCCGAGAATATCTGGGGCTGCCTCGACGAGTCCATGTTCCTCGAGTCTGCCGCGCGCTACTCCCGCGCCAGTCACGTGCACTCCACCCTCACGCTCCCCGGTCACGTGCGCTTCCTCTCCAACTTCCCTCTGCTCCAGCACCAGTGGCAGATCGTCGACAGCTTCAAGTCTCAGATCTCTCAGCGCGCCCGCGACCGCCTCTTCGATCGGGAGCTCCAGCTACCCATCTCCTCCTACGCCGACGCATTGGCAGCCGTTGCTCTGATCGACGACCTCCGCCCCGAGCACGTCCTCTCGCTCTTCCTTGAGACTCGGAAGTCGTGGGTCTCGCAGATACTCAACGCCTGCGGTGTCGATGCGCAGTGCTCCGACGTCGTTTCGGTGCTGTGCGAGGCGTTGAGGGTGATTCAAGTGACCGTGGGGCAGGTGGGGGAGCTCTTCTTGCGGGTGTTTAACGACATGCCGTTGTTTTACAAAGTGGTTTTGGGTTCCCCACCTGCATCTCAACTGTTCGGTGGAATTCCCAACCCGGATGAGGAGGTCAAGCTTTGGAACTCGTTCAGGGAGAAGCTGGAGGCCGCCATGGGAATGCTGGAGAAGGATTATATTGCCAAGGCTTGTCGCTCGTGGCTTAAGGACTGTGGAGGCCAGATGGTGGATAAGATCAATGGGAGGTTTCTCATTGATGTCATTGGCAGCGGCCATGAGCTCGCCTCAGCTGAGAAGTTGATTAGGGAGACTATGAATAGCAAAGAGGTATTAGAAGGGAGCTTGGAGTGGCTCAAGAATGTTTTCGGGTCCAACATTGACCTGCCTTGGAGTAGAATGAGTGAACTTGTTTTGGGAGACGATTCGGACCTATGGGACAGTATCTTTGAACCAGCATTTGTCGGGAGGATGAAGGTGATTGTGGACCGCAGGTTCGAGGAGCTCACGAGGGCTGTGAACGTTAAGGAGGGTGAACCCATTGATTTTCTTGGTGCTGGTGGTGGAATTTGGTTTGTAGAAGCCAAATCCAATCATGGTAAGAAGGGTACTTCTGCTCTGCCTTGTGAAGAGAATTGTCTCAATTTCTATTTTGGTCCTCAAGCTAGTGGTATTAGGGATGCTGTGGATAGTAGCTGTCAGGAGGTTCTTGATGACTTACTGTGTTTCTTAGAATCTCCAAAGGCAGCCCTTAGATTAAAGGATCTGGCACCCTATCTACAAGATAAATGTTACCAAACCATATCTGTTATATTGATGCAACTGAATAGTGAGCTTGGGAATTTGGAAAGTGGCAAAGACAAGCAAGGGCTGGTAACCGTTGAGAGGGCACTTTTCATTGGGAGACTCTTGTTTGCATTGCAGAACCACTCCAAACACATTCCCATCATACTTGGCCCTCCAAGGTCTTGGGCAAATGCAACTGGGTCTGCAGTTTTCGATAAGTTACCGTCCATGTTGAGACAATCTAGAGCCCCCACTGATTCTACCGTGCTTGATAGCCCCTTGGGTTCTAAAAGGCACACTTCATCTGCTACTGCTGCATTGCTTGGAGCAAGCCAAAGTGCAAGCCCTAAACTTGAAGAGCTTAATGTAACTATGCGAGATCTCCGCATTAGAGCGCATGGTTTATGGATGTCATGGTTGTCCAATGAGCTTTCAGTTATTCTTTCTCATGATCTTGAAAAAGATTATGCTTTGTCATCATCAAGTCCTCTGAGGGTAAGTTGCATTTAACACACTGCTTTCTGTGTGTACCTTTTTCAGTGCTGCTATCAATTAACTATGCCTTTTAATTAGTATAAGTGAAATAAATTGAGAGCTTACATGACTGGTAATAAACTACTTGTTGGATGCTAATTTGGAAGTGCAAATGATCCTTCTTTTCATCTGTTTTCAGTTAGAAAAAGAGAAATGAAAGGGCTTTAGAGGGTTTTGAAGCTAAACAGCCTAAACTTGATATTGCAAGGTGGTCTTGATTATTATAATTTGATCATTGGTCAGCAACCACCCTACAAATGCAGGAATAATGATGTGGTGTTAAAGGAAACAGACCTGAAGAAATAAAATTGGTTGCATGCTTTTAAAGCAAATCCATGGGTTGGCTTAACATAGTAGTGTGTTTAAGTGAACGTTTTATTAGTATTTCTGAAGAACATTTTGTGTTCATCCATCTGCTGACCAAGATATTGGAGTGCTTATGTTCTGTTTAAGACCAAGTTGATGGTATATTACGCTATGCTGTTTGTCGTTTGCAAGTATGATGTTGATTAGAATACAATTCACCATAATTTTCATTATTTGGGCAGGGTTGGGAAGAGACAGTAGTTAAGCAAGAGCAGTCTGATGATAACCAATCAGACCTGAGAATATGGCTCCCGTGCATGCCTTCCCTCTATGTAACCTCATTTCTCTTCCGTGTATGTGAAGAAGTTCATCGAATTGGAGGTCATGTTCTTGACAAAACAATTCTGCAAAAGTTTGCATCAAAATTGTTGGAAAAGGTATGTAACTCAGCTTGATGTCTGACTTCACTCATCTTTTCTGTATTCATCCATATGTAATTGTTTTTCCCAACCAAAAATTTAAATCCCAAATCCGACCCATCCATGTAATTTCTCAAGCTTTAACCATCAGTATGTTATTCCACATGCCACCCACTAGACCAAAAGGCCGTTAACCATCAGTATGATATTCTTACTCGTAATTTTCTGAATACCCCCACTTTTACTGTCCTAATTTTGTTTCTTCTAAAAAAAATTGTAACTATCGCTTAGCTTGAACTCTATCTTCTTATCTTGCACTCTCAGGGGTGTTTACTTTGTGATATTTATGGGAAGAATGAAGAAGTTACAAGTTGTTTTGTTAAACAATTGTTGTGATTTCTACTCTCAACTATTTCTCTTTGATTGTTTATGTGATTGCAATATTTTCATGTAGGTCATTGATATTTATGGGGACTTCCTTTCTACTCTAGAGGCTGGTGGAACTGAAGTGTCCGAAAAAGGAGTTTTGCAAGTTCTGTTAGATTTGAGATTTGTTGTTGATGTCCTTTCTGGGGGTGATTCTAATGTGAGTGAGGAGCCATCTATAAACCTAAAGGCAAAAAGTCCTTTCAGACGGAAGCAGGAACAAAGCCATGTGAAGTCTGTCATTAGAGAGCGTTTTGACGGGTTGATAAATCGCCTTTCGCAAAGATTGGATCCCATAGATTGGCTTACGTGAGTTTGTTCATTCTTGTGACTAAAATTTAAAGAATTATAAAGATTTTCCTAAAGTTTGGATCTGAGAGTGGTGTCTCCTTACATGCATGTTTCTCACCCATTGTTCCCCTTAAAAGGCTGTCTAATTGTTGCTTTCAGAGGAAAATGAATATTCAGGAGTTTCCAGGTTATGTCTTGGCTAGCTAGTCATTTTTTATATTCTGGTCACAATGCGTATTGGATCTTATAAAGAAAAAATTAGCTAATATCTTTATCTTACCTAGGAAAAAGAGATAGTGACTAGTATTGATAGGGGATAGAATGATGTGTGGTGATATTATGAATGCACTGAAAAGTATCCCATGCTGGATCTTTTTCTTTTCCAGTGGCAATCCTGAGCTGGATCTTGCCTAAGATTAAATCTTATAATATTCTGTTATCTGCATTTCCAGTGGCTCTTGAGCCTAGTGGCACCTCCTCCCCCTTTTAGAATAAGATTGGGAGGTGAGATCAAGAGTTCATGGCTTGGTTGATCTGGCTATGTGTCTGTAGATTCCTAAGCCAGACTTCTGCTAAAACAAAAATAAAATGGAGGGATATCTATAATATTGTGTTGTATATCAATTATTCATAGCATTTTAAAATAATTTTGTAACTAATTAGGCATTTGACTTTGTGTTTTCTTACTTTATCTCATATCAGGTATGAGCCATATCTCTGGGAAAATGAGAGGCAGTCATACCTACGGCATGCTGTCCTTTTCGGATTCTTTGTGCAACTTAATCGCATGTATACAGATACTGTTCAAAAACTTCCTACTAATTCTGAGTCCAATATAATGAGATGCTCTTCAGTTCCTCGCTTCAAGTACCTTCCCATCAGGTACGTTTTCTGAAACTTAAATTATTTTCTACTTTTTGAGCAACCACTTTACATGGTGTCCACATGTGTTATCAATTTTGATTCTATTCAAATTTCTTATACATGAACTGTATAAATTGAATTGAACTGGCTGATCAGTTACATATGACTGCATATTAGTGTTTTCCAGTTTTAACTCTGGCCAAAAATAGTTGTTGCCAAAGGGTACCATTCAATATTGGGTTCATAGTTTTGACTTCATTTTGGTGTTCCAGTGCCCCGGCATTGTCTTCAAGAGCGACAGCTAAGACGTCCATTCCAACATCTTCAGATGATATTTCTTCTAGAAGTACCTGGAAATCTTATGCAAATGGAGACCTGTCCAGTAAGCTTGATTTGGATGATAACTCGAGTTTTGGGGTTGCAGTACCAATCTTTAAATCTTTCATGCAGGCAAGGCTTTCTATCTCTTTAGTTTTTCTTGTCACAAGTTTTTCCTATTTTCGTAGTTGCATTTAAACAAGTATCGATTTCATATTGGAATAGGAATGCACATGTTGTTTGAGATGTAAATTTTTAATGGCATTATTAGACTTGGCAAAGTCATACATGGGACAATAGCACAACACTGACATGACCTAAAAGTTAAGTTTTCTGGTGGAGCCTTTTCGGTTCAGATCTGTAATGGGTTAACTTATGATGACACCTTATCTCAAAGGTTCAGTCAGTGACTCAGTGCCATTGGCGAAACACGTTAATGTGTTAGTGACATGTTTTCTTCATGAAAGATGCTTTTTTTTTCCTTTTAAAAAACTCTTCAGAGTATATTTTCCTTGGTCTTCTGAAAGTGTTTTTTAAAAATAGGGAAAATTTTTCCCTTTCAATTAGCTTTTAGATGCTAGCTGCATCTGCTGAATGCCCTACTAAGAAGTTTCTGGTGAAAGATACTTAGAAGAACATTCACCAGTGAAGCAGTATCTGTTAAATAACTTGCTGCTGGATCTTGTTCTTTAATGTAACCAACGGCAATAGACTAAACTAGCAAATATTAGGAAACTTAGACACAAGAATTATACTGGTTCAGCAGAACTTTTGCCTACCTCTTCCAATGATCGGCTGAACCACATACGAAGCAACCTTCCTTCTTTTCCTTTTTCTTCTTGGATTTTGACCTCCCTCTGTTGCCTGTTTTCTCATCCTTGGTCTTTTCCCGCCCCCTCTCCGTGCCTTTGGCATAAAGGCCTTGAGAGCTTTCAGTTATATCATCTAGTTTAGCATATGGCTGAAGAGCTTGAATTGCGTCTTCAAGCTTGAATTTCCAAACATTAGAGTTGTTCGAAAGTGCTTGAAAGACGAAGGTAGAGACCTCAGTAAGATGGTTTTGCTGCCCTGATTTCATTTTGGTACATTTATCAGTGGTGTGTGCTGACTTTTTGCATGACCATGTTGGAGAGTAGGAGGAATTGCCTGGCATTCTGGTTTTTGTTATATCTTAGCTCTTTGTGCTGATTGTAGAATATGAATCATACCAATACTATTTTTCCTTGGTCTTCTGAAAGTGTTTTTTAAAAATAGGGAAAATTTTTCCCTTTCAATTAGCTTTTAGATGCTAGCTGCATCTGCTGAATGCCCTACTAAGAAGTTTCTGGTGAAAGATACTTAGAAGAACATTCACCAGTGAAGCAGTATCTGTTAAATAACTTGCTGCTGGATCTTGTTCTTTAATGTAACCAACGACAATAGACTAAACTAGCAAATATTAGGAAACTTAGACACACAAGAATTATACTGGTTCGGCAGAACTTTTGCCTACGTCCAGTTGTGATTTCTCTACCTAGAGAAATCACCGCTCCTTTGATTAATAATAGAGATTACAGAACTTTTGCAAACCCTAGAACTAATCTCAAAACTCTTGGCTGTCTCTGGCTATTTTTCCTCTCTCTCAAAATAAGCCTTGCCACACCCTATTTATAGATATAGAGTTGGCTTACATGTCCTAAGGCTGATTGAATTCCTATTCCTAAGTGGATTAGGAAATTACACTTATCCAAAACCAAATAGGCTTCTAGAAATCCAAACCTGAATTGAATAAGGAAAACTGAAATTCTTTCCTAATCCCTCTAGGACAAGAATACCTCTAATTTTCCTAAAGCAATCCTAAACCAACTAGGACATATTTGACGAGCCAAAATCCTAACAAAAATTTTTTTGGGTTGTATTTCTTTAACATGTTTTGGATTGTTGTATCTGATATATAATGTGTTGGACACAGTTTTTATGGCAATATTATATTTTGTTTATGTTATTCTTGGGCTGTGTTTGGGTTTAGTATATTTCCACACAATACGAACATGCTAAAACACAGCACATTGCCAGGTCTATTGATGATAATCCAAAGTTTATAGTTTGGGAGTGATGGCAATATGCTGATTTTAGATACAAGATTCTCATAAACTTCTTATGTGTGAATATTGTTTAAGACCATCCAGACTTGAGTGGTATGGTATACAGTTTTTACTCTTTTGTGTCAACTTGATTTTGATTTGCGAGTCTACTGCATATAGGATTTATATGGAGAATTTTTTCTGGTTATCCACTTGTTTGCCATATTTGGATAGCCAGGTTGTGAATATGATGTTCCTTGTAATTGGCAGGCTAGAAGCATATTTGGAGAGAGCACATTGAAACTGGGATCAATGCTAACAGATGGGCAAGTGGGCATATTCAAGGATAGATCAGCGGCCGCCATGTCGACATTTGGCGACATTCTACCTGCCCAGGCTGCAGGTCTCCTCTCATCGTTCACAACTTCCAGATCAGACTCTTGATTGCCTACAGAATCCTTCAGTCTTATCTTCTTTTGGGCATATGTAAGTAATATTTCACTGTGAAGAGAAACAGTGGAGTCTCACCAAGCATGAGATTAGGGCGCCGCCAGAGTTTGCAGTACTTATTTGAAACCAGGTAGAAAAGGTATGTGATTGAAATGAAGCCCTGAGTTTTGGATTTTAGTTAAAGTTTCAGATGGGGGATTAGGAACTTAAAATGATGAGGTTATGTATAGAAGCCAGATAGGTTGAGTAACCCTGATTTGAAGCTGTGAGAGCTTTTTTTTTTTCTTTTTCTATTAATTCATTTTTTGCTTCCATAGCTTATTATTTTTCTGGGGTTCTGTTATTATAAACTTGTATTCTTTTATTTATTTATACCTTTTGATGTTTGGAAAGAGCTGTCTGGTTATGGATATTGTTTGTACTTTAGTGGACAGCTTGAACACTGTTGTTGTACTTTAGTTTATAGATTCTGAATAAAATATTTGTGTTTCCAATCAAAAGAAAAAAGTTTGGGCTGGTAAACGTGTTGAAGTTACTGCTGGTATTCCCTGGCTGTTAAGCTGTTAGTTGTCTGCACTTTTGCTGACTTCCTATTGATTTCTATATTTGGTTTTTCTTTCTTTTTTTCGGGTGAGGGGTGTTGCTCCTGTTAGTTCCTTGTGAAATGAATTATTACCTGTCTTCTAAGCGTCTTTGCTACATGTTGTTTTTCCATGTCTTATTAATATGTCATCTCTGTTTAGCTATCCTGACAATTCCATCGAGTAGCTGACCACCATCTGAATTATTCTTTAAGCTCTGTAACAAAGAATGTGTCAACCATTTAGTCTGTCAACATACTATGTAGTCTGCTGAGTGCTCTGTTTGTTAATCATGTGTTATTAACTGCTTTACTAGTAGTATGTTGTCTTGGAAGGGGCGTGTAGTTTAAGTGGTACTTAAGAGCATTCATCATGCACCTGAGTTCTTGTCTTGGGTTACCCCTCCAATATGGCTAGTGTTCTAAAAGTTTTATATATGTATTCTTGTATTTACACTTGCTCGAAATCAAGGCATAGTAAGTATGGTCTGTCATCACTACCTTTATTGTCTATGTATTTTTTCTAAGAAGGCCCAGAAAAAGAACAGAAAAGCTGACATGGAAGGAGTCACGGCAGTACCTATAATAGTTCTGAGTCGGACAGATGCCATTGAGTTCTCTTACAATATTTCTTCGTATATATTTGCTCTACTTAAATAGTCGCCGTGCATAGAAGACAATTAGCCATAGTACGACTTTGTTGCTACTATTTTGCTGCATTACCAAGTCACCTTGAATTGAGTTGTGTTTGGTCAAATTCTGTGATGAATAACACCAAAGTCAAAACTGGTTTTCTGTGTTGTTTATGTTTTTATTATGTAGAAGTCTGAGATATTCAAGTATATTTTGCAAGTAAGAAAAGTTTGGAAGCATGCTGCTACATAAAAAAAAATTACTGGAGTTGTTCACTATTCTTAAATCTAAAATTTCTTATTGAGTCTTATGAAGCGTCTCTACTTGAGTGCTCTGAAAATGATGCAATACCTATTTAATGTAGTTTGCTGTGTTTTGTGTTTATTATATTCTCTTCTTGTAGGCCAGTCGGAGTTGGAGGTCACCACGATTTGGGTGCCAACTTGGAGGATGCGTGCGTGATATTGTTCCATGTTCAAATTCAAATTCAATTGTAGAAATTGTAAAACCCTTCTCATGTATTATTTGTTATTTGTGTATAACTTTCACTATACGAAATTAGCTGTATGTACTCTTAACATGTTAGTTATGAGTTTTTACATAAAAGAAATTTTTTTCTTCATAATACTTAGTCCAGATGTGCCATTAAAACTAATTATTTGTTCACATATTCCATTTGAAAAGAAAAACCAAAAAATAACTTCCGGCACGAAACTAGGCTAAAACTTTTGGATGGAATACATTTTTTTCCCCAATTCAATTTTTATTTCATCAGCCCTTTTCTTTGAATATGATACTTTTTAGTCTCTTATTCAACTAAACAAAAATGGAAGTATTAACTTGTCTAGAATACAATTTCTCCTCTAAGCAAGGCATATTCTGCACAAAATTAATGTACATCCCGATTTTCTCTGCTAGGTTAAAATTCAATTACATAAAGAATTATCCGTTCTCAGAAATTGATCCAAAGAGACATGATGAATCCTTGAAATTTGTACTTTTATTAGAGGTATAAGAAAAAAAATAAAAAAATAAATAAATATATATATATATAATATATACAGAAATTCTCTTATCGTGCGGACACCATGTATTTTGTACTACCTCTCTCTGTTTTCCTGCCTGTTTACAATAGGATCAGCACGATAATAACGTGCGGACATCCGGATAAGATATATATAGAAAGTATGGGCAGAATAATTTATTACTTTTGAAACATACTTTATATGGCGTACAATACAACCATCTCTTATTGTAGCAAAAGAAACAAAAAACAGAAAGAAACCATCTCTTATTGCCTGCTCAAAGTGAATGAAAATTTTCCCCCGATAAAAAACCAATGTAAAAGTAAAATTGCCAAACGTATGCCGATTACGAGATTATATGCACTGCCTTGCCAATCAAAGATATTTGCAGATGTCAGCTAAGCACCATGTAATAAAATTTGGGTGCTCATTCATTAAAAGGAAACAACCAGGAAGGTCAAAACACTGTAAACATCTAAACAGAAAACTAGTCCAAGTAGATTGACACATCGATGATCAAAGGAAGGAAACAGTTACTTCATTTGTCAGTTGGTGGTTGTTACTGTTCACTGATTGGTATTCATCCGTTAGCTTAAAGAATTCAAAAGTAACTCAAAATACAACAAAAACATCGAAGCACTGCAGCTAAGTTGCAGAAAGAGGGATTGGCTTCACCGCACTTTGGATTCGACGAAATGCCGCCTTTACTCTTTCCTTGAGACCTTCATTTTCACTCTCAACATCCCCACTCTGTTTATCAAGCTGTGCCACATTCCCGTCAACACTAATCACTAGTTTCCCATTTTCTCCAGGCTTCACATCCCCAAAGAGTGATACAAGAAGTGCATGAATGACCTTTTCCACCTTCTTCCCATTCTCTTCCTCAGTTTTTACGTCCTCTGATTCAACAACTACCTTGGGGACTTCTCGGTTGATATTCAAAATAAGAGCCACAATGGAGTCTGACACCATATCACTTATAGGATCTGACGACCAATGTACTGAAATGTGTTTATCTGTATCCTGCTTCACTGTCACCCGATCATGCACTCGCAATGTTGGCACCCCAGATTCCTCATCCACTGAAGACTCTACACTCTCATAAATTTGCCTTAACCGGTGTTTAATCACAGTGAAGCCACTAGCAAATGGGATAGTAATTCGTTGAGTGACGTTTGCTGTGCACAGCTGTGAGAAGACATGAAGATCATCAGAAGCCATTATTTGATAACTGAAGCCTTTTTTTACCAGTAAACCGCTGACACTTTCACCAACTTCAGGGGTCTTCTCAGCAAGCCTTCCAATAGCTTTTGCCATTTTCTGTGAGTTAAAATACATTTCAACAGACTGACAATTCTTTGGGGTGAGGATTTTGGTGTTACGATCAGCAAACTGGGTCATCAGCTTCTGTTTGAGCCTCCCCATCTCATTAGCTTCTCCATGAACAAGGATTATATTAGGAGGCCTCAGCTCTTCCAAAAATGCAGTTGTCTGAACAGAGTCTGCATGAGCAGAGAATGAAATGTAATGGACCTGCATGTTGAGAGGAGCAGTGAGTCCATTCATAAGAGTTACCTCCTTCGGTTCATTGATGATTGTTTTAGCTAGTGTCCCTTCAACCACATAACCTGGAATAACACATGCATTTTTCTTATCAGAGCACCACATATCAAATAGCTGCCTTGACAGCCCGCTCTGAAGACCACCAGGGCTTGCCATCACCACTGATGGGCCTACATCTTTGAAATTTTCAATGCTCTTTAGTGGTGATACGTACTTGAATATGAAGGGATTTGACTTCGCATTGCGGATCCTATCGTTCATGGAAAGGGTGTATGTCTCATATACAGATAAACATCTTTTTGCAAGTGGGGAAGCATAATAAATAGGAATATTTTGGAGCTCAGGATGGTTTGCCCAATACTCATCAAGGATCAGGAGAAGTTCTTGGGCACGGCCAAGTGCAAAAGCAGGAATTAAGACACGACCCCCTTGAGAGACGGTTGAATGGATAACATCAGTGAATCGCTTCTCTCTGATGTGCCGAGGTTGATGGTGCTGGACACCATATGTGGATTCAATAATGCATATATCAGGGGAGAACTGTGGGGTCTCAGCAGCACGGAGATGCCGGTCTTCTTCACGTGAATAATCACCAGTGTACAGGACTCTAACACCGGCAATATCAACCATAAACATAGCAGCACCAAGGACATGACCAGCAGTATAGCACCAAAATCGAATGCCCTCAACCTCTACTGTTTGATGGAAATCAATAACCTACAATTACCATACACTGTTAGACAATTATCATGAGAAAATCATTCATGTCTTGTTGGGTGTAAAGGATTAAGGATCCAACACCAGTATTCAGATTAAGATTGTACTGAATAGAGATAAATGGATAATGATGTAAAGATGGTGAGGTTGAGTCTATCAATAACCAAAATGTTAACCAATTCAAAGTACTAATATCACCAACTGGCCAGCACCAAACTAAAATATTAACCGGGTCAACAAATGCCAACTGAACTCAGATTCTTGAAAGCACTACTTTCTCTGCACAAATCACTGGAATTTTGGCAGAGAGAAAACATACATCCCCTATGAAACACAGCCACAACTACAAGCTGTAATGCTGGAAAATTTTGGTTGGTTCAAACATACATCGTTAGAAACAACATAACTCAAATTTAATATAAATCTGTGATAGGGAGGTTCAGTTGGGAACAAAAACCAGTGGCAATAAACACATAGGTCATGGGAAGACAACAAACCTCAATTTTATCCATTGAGGCATTTATGTCCTGCTCATCAAACAACATATCTTCAACTGAAACTTTGCTCACTTTCACATAATCCGTCAAAAGCAACTTGTAGATGGCCTTTGTTGCATAAGTCATAAAGACTCGGCCTTTGAATGTGGTCTATCAAAAGTTATAGATATATTAGTTCCCTGGAAAATAAAATAAAAACTAATTATATAATTATTCATTCAGAAAGTGAAAACCTTCTCAAGAAAGTAAGGTAGGGAAGCGGCATGATCCAAGTGAAAACTGCAAGCAAAAAGTATGACCTAATATTAGTACAATTGGATGAAGAGTCTACAATAATGAGGTAACACTTCCACATATGACTTTGGCAGCAAAAGGTGAAATCAGACACATCTATAACCATGTTGCCAAAGAAAAAAAAAGTCTGATGTGTAGAATGCAATGTGATTGTACATGGTGCATGACTTCTTACATGTTACAAAAAATCT